AAGAGCATGAAGCAAACTCCTTGTCCCGACAAAAACCCTTTTATTAATTTAATGTGAACTCTGCTCATTAACATCCAACGGGCTTTCGAGGCCCGACTTATAGTCACAGACCTTATCTGGCTTGGAGAGCTGACAGGCCGATATCTGCAAAACTTGGCACGGAGTCTCAGAGGGTCACAAACCAATTAAGCAAATTAATTGTCTCCTGCAAACTCCACTCCCCTTTCGCTCCTCTTTTATTTCCTCTGGGAGGGGCCATTCATCATCCACCTGTGGCCTTACTCCCAAGTCAATATGTGTTCTTTAGCTGTCCCCTTCATCTGGCAACTCTGTGCATGCGCACACTGGGAACAGGCTACAGCTGTTCGTTTGCCTCACTGATGTCTGACTCTGAAGGTAGCTGATAACTGGCAAATGGTTCTGGCCCCCTCTCTGCCTCTGACACAGAGCCCTCATCAGACTCCAGAACTGGCCCATATTCCTCCCCAACCTCCTCACTGTCTGAATCTGGCGGGCCACAACACATTGCATGAGCAGAATTTCAGTCATACTGCCACAACTGCCCATCATCTTGATTTCTTTGACAATACCCTATAGGCACACTTACGTGGAGTGCTGAATCCCAGGGACCCCAAATGTGGTTTGATATTGAGGTTTGGGCTGGAATCCTAAAGAGAAGTCCTTGATAGAAGCATCTACAAAAGAGAGCAGGGTTGGTGTCAGCCCCACTAAGTAGACCAGACCAGGAAATGAACCCCACAGGAAGGTTAAACTACTTTTACTGCAATTGCTATAGTAACAGAATCTTGCAAGCCTGATATGCTCTACCACCTCCCCCTCCTTTTTTTATGTTTCAGGAAATGGGGGGGGGGGGACATCTGCCTGAGCTGCTTCTGAATATTATTATTCTGGCTTTACAAAATATTTGGGCCCTTTTGCCTAGGTAACAGTTCTGCATATCTCTTGGAAGAAAATTTCTTTACTCTCTACAGTTAGCCAGTTAGTGTTCAAGTCATCTTATATGGTCTTTCAAAATGTTTTGTGCCACTGCAGACTCTAACATTATGGGATCTGGAATGACAGTCTGTTTGCATCCAAGGTGGGGATTTCAAGCTAGGCCTCAGCTCACATTTTTCTAATAATGGGGTAGAAGAACCCTTAAACTACTGGTGAAAAATTTGGGTACTCTCTTCCCCCTAGCAGATTTTACTACAATCTGAACCTCCTTTTTCATTGGCTTGGTTGGCAGGGCGGCCTGGAGTTATAGTCTGGGAACATCTGGAATGCTGCAGGTCCCCTATTTCTATTTCCCACAGACTGATCCTGGGGCAGCCAGGGAGAAATGCAGATTTGGTATTAACTTTTCTGCAGCCAATTGTGCACTCCCTCTCTGTCCGGTTCCCTTAATGGGGTTTTATGCAGAAGGGCAGCAGGCATGGCTGCTGCCTAAATAGATAAGAAGACTGAGCCAGCCGCAGTAAAGGAATGAGGCAAATGACAAACAGTATCCTCTTTATCCGCTATCTCCCGTCTGTTTCCAATAAAGAGATTGCTGCTTGGATCTATAAAGCTTCTCCTGTCTTTGCAGGTGTCGTAGGAACTTGGCCCTGGCTTTGCAGCAAGACACATTTATTAACATTGATCATTCATTTCCTTCCAAGAGCAAAGAATGGTCATTTTGCATCAAGCTGTCCCTGCCGTCTCTTGCAGTTCCCTTTGCCAGTACATTTGGCCAGTTGTTCTCTTTCAGCCTTGCTCTTCCTGTTGCATTCTGACCATTCAATGAAGAAAGAGTAAAACCGGATGGCTGGATTTAGTGCAGGGAAATTACTTCAGAGCAATCTTTGTTTTTCCCTTTCATTCCTTGGAACACACACTTGGCCAGGCGTCCCAGTGAACGGGTTTGTTTGAACGTTTGGAACATCCCAGAAGCAAGCAGAATCACTCGCCTCTTTTGACGACTCCTGAGACTTTTGCCAGGGTGTTGTTGCAACAAAAACAAAATATAAAAGGACACCCCCACCCCCAGAAAAACAGCCCTGACTATGCCATTGGCCATTGTGCTATAAATCAGTTAGCGCCTTCTAAGCAAACTGTCTCTTTTATTGCATCAGAGAAAGCTTGCACAGGAATTGGCTTAAACTACTAACTACAGAATGGCTTAAAGGGTTTAAGTTGAGGTTTTGTCTTTTTTTAAAACTTCCAAAGAAATTCACTCTTTGAAATAAGTTTTAGAGATCTGTGGATGCAATTTCACAGCACACTGAATCACATTGTTTTAAGACTGTTTAACTGCCCTACACACAAGAATACTTTAAAGCCTATTCCAAAATTTAAAATCAATGTTGATGGCCTATTTTAAACTCATTTACAAAGTAAAAGAAGAGACTTCTCTCTCTCTCCTTACACACACACACACACACACACACACACACACAGGGGGGGCATTTTTTCTCTGTCAACAGACTGTAATTTTCTTCTCATTGGAAAAAATAGATCTAGCCAGAAGATACAGAAATGAAAGCATTTAATTTTAAAACTAGAAAATTTGCCATGTTTCAATATATTGTTCTTTTACTTAATTGCAGTAAGCAGCTATCCATTTTTGATAAATGTATGTTTATAAAATGTGATTTTTAGTATATTTTAATGTTTTTGTTTAAAGTCATTGAATAAATTTCTGTAGGTTGCCCCCCCCCCCCTCCATACTCTGTATTGCAGCTAGATTATTGTGCTTTCATATACTGTATATCTAACAGCTGGTCATTTCACTATGAATTCACTTAAAATAGCAGCAGATAATAATGTATACCAATAATCCGCTATTGGATGTATACAATCCTGATTAAAATTTAGGTACAAACTGGACAGGGAAAACCCCTATGATTTCCTCTCCCTGGATTTTAGTCTAGAGGAAAATAAGCTACTGCAATATCTTGTATTCTCACATGACTTGTTAAAAACAAAAAGAATAGGAGCAAACAGGCATACTAGTGATCCATGGGGTGATAGTGAACAGGCCATTTTGGCAGTTCCTATCAACATCTTTAGGGTGATAATGTCAAAAAGAACTGTAAGAAACTGCAATAGTCTCTTTCCCAACTGGAGGAATGGATTTCAAATGGCAAATGCACTTTAGTAACAAGTGATAGTGCTGACACAAAACATCTGGATTATGTAATGAGATAAATTAATTAATGAGATTTGAGATAGTATGGACTTACTATGGAGTTTGAAGTCATGTGAGTAGTTCAGTAAAAATGTCAATTGAGCCTACAACTGCTTTTAATAAAAAGGCATATTCCATGCTTGAAATCATTAGGAAGAAAACTGAAAACTGAATTGCTAAAATAGTGTTGTTCATATATCACACCATTGTCCATACATCACATGGTGTATTAGGCATATTATATTGTTCAAGATTATGCAATGATTGCAACAAAAATGATTATGGAGCTACAGCAGTTCCCATATAAAGGTTAAAGCAACAGTATTCTTTAATTTGGAATGAAAGTTATAGAAGAGGCAATATAAAATAAAGGCACATAAAATCATGAATGGCATATATTTATCAGTCATTTATTTGCCACCCACCTTATGGTTCAGGTGACACAAGATAGAGACAGAAAAATCTTCCTCCCTCTCTCAATGTTAGAGCTCAAGGTCATCACTGAAAATTAATGGTGGACAGAAGGAAATAGTTTCCATACAGCATATAGTTGAAATGGTAGCAGGTGTGCAAATAGTTGATTTGGGTGATTTTAAAAGGGCACTTAACAGTTTTATAGAAGATCAGGCTACAAGTAACTACTTCTTTGATGGCTGTTAGGGGGTTACTGCTAAGTGGTCCACCTCTTAGATATTCTCAGGTACATCTATTCATTACTGTTTGACAACAAATGCTGAATTATATGGCCTAACATCTCATCCAGGAGGTTTCTACTGATTATTCCTAGTTTTGATTGCGATCAACTGTGAAGGACTGGGACTCAAGAAGCAAGGATATAAACATGGAGTGAAGCCAGAGAGAACTGGATATTTCTGAATTCTAATTATGAAGGTTAAGAGAAGGAAAAATATAGGAATATAATAGCCTTACACTTTGCTTGCTATGCCATTGTATTGTCCACTGCTGAAAAGCAGTAGGCTTGGGTAGACATATATCTTGGTTGGTAGACTCATCTCTGTCAGTATTGTATCAGACACAAATGGGACATAAAATATCTAGAACTTTTATCCATAACTGTCTTCTCTACACGGGATTCTGGATGCAAAACAAAACACAGGGCAGAAGAAATTGAAAGCTGACAGACATTAATCCAGAGAAGTGCATAAGAGTATGTGTGAACCTATCTTTGAGGTCCCAAAAGTGCTTTTTCAAGAGGCAACTGCACTTTCTGGTTTTCTTTGAACATGTTTTGCTTCTCATCTAAGAAGCTTCTTCAGCTCTGACTGGATGGTGGGGAATGGAAGGATTCTTGGATGAGAAGCGAAACATCTTCAAAGAAAAAACATAAACTCCAGTTGCTTCTTGAAAAAAGCACCTTTGGGACAATCATGACCTGGATGACTGAGAATGTCCATAGACATCTATCTCTGGGATGCACATGAGCTTGGCCCTATTTTATTTTAAAATTGCCATCTGAAATGCCTGTTTATAAATTCTGCACCTGTAAAAAGAGGCATTAATAATGTCAACAATAATTAGAAAACAGAGGTGAAGGGCTGGTTTTCTGTAAGTTTGGGCTAAGCTACCAGAAGACTCAAAACTGAAAAACTGGAGCACCAGACTTCACAATAAAGGTCTTGTCCTACCGCAACGGTTTCCCTAAGCATCTGGTGGCAGCCAATGAGCGCCTCTTTTCCTCCAGATCTGCACTCCCATTGGCTGCAGCCTGTCATTCCTTCGCTCGAATACAGGGTTGGAGTTAGAGGATCTGCGCTCAATAATCCATTTCCTCACATCTCGGCGCTAATCGCAGCAGGGAGATTAAAATAGTAACTGATCGGTCGATCCTTATCCCCCTTTTGAAACCGTTCTTCGAGCGCCGACCCCCATTTCCCTGCCGCCTTTTCTTCCCACGAGCTTTTTAAGGCGATGACAGCCCGTTGCCCGCTCTGAAGAGCCCGCAAGGCCATCATGTTGAGGCAACACTTTTCGTACGAGCTGGTTCGCTACACGCAGGCCCCTCCCGCCTTGCTTCCCAAACAAGCGGAGGAGAGCAGGCCGGACTTCGCGGCGGAGCAGCTCCAGACGCGACCCGGGACTGGGACCAGCCGGGCGGGCGGTGGCAAGAGCGAGCAGCAACAGCTGCGGAGAAAGATCAACAGCCGCGAACGGAAGCGGATGCAGGACCTCAACTTGGCCATGGACGCGCTGCGAGAGGTGATCCTGCCTTATTCGACGGCTCATTGCCAGAGCTCGCCGGGGCGGAAGCTCTCCAAGATCGCCACGCTGCTCTTGGCTCGGAATTACATTCTTTTGTTGGGCAGCTCCTTGCAAGAGCTCCGGAGAATCATAGGGGAGATTAGCGGCTCCTCGGGTCCCAGGCTGCTGCTGGCTGGACTGCCTCTCTTCGCCGCCGCCGTCGCCCCGGGCCCGGTGCTGCTAACGCCGAGCCCGGTCAGTCACCATCACCTGCACCACCACCACCACCACCCGGAGAGGCTGCGACCGGCCAACAAATACCTCTCGGCGGCCCTGGAGGAGCAGCAGTGCGGCCAAGGGCGCGTACCCGATGGGGCGACCCTTTGCTCCTGCGCCGCTTGCAAATTCCCTCACTTGTTTCCTTCCGCCTTCGGGGTGGCCGCTGTGCAGGCGCAGTTTTCCAAATGAGCCTGGCCCTCCTGAGCTGAGGAGGGATGGAAATGGAGGGGGCCCCGCAGGCTGCAATCGAAGCGGGTGGGAGGACGGGGCCCGGAGGGCTCAAGGCTCCTCGCGGCTTCTCCTATTTGTATTATTCGGTCTGGATGGAGCGACAGCTGGGGGCAGAGAGACGAAAATGTTTTAAGACCCTGAAAAGGACAGTTTTGCACGTTTTCCTCTCAAATCGGTTACACGATCACTGGGACGAAAGTCTGATTTTGGCCCTCGGGTACGAATGTGAAAGAGAGGGGGAGAATGGGACAATTGTATTAAATAGGTCCAAATAACTAGTCCAACTATAACCCAAGGTGGCCGTGTGATGAATACAGATTTGCACAGGATATGAAATCAGTATAAGCCTGTTAAGATCTATAAAAGATTTCATGGAAGACCAGAAGGGAAGAAACTTTCCTCTGCTTGGTGCAAAATCCAAATGACAAATGGCCTCCAGCCTCTGACTGAGCACATCCACCAAAGGAGAGTCACAGCCCATGGCATTTGGTTCCATTGTCAAACTGCTTTATCAATTGGAATAACCTCCTGTAATTGGACATCTTATTCTATGTCCCACATTCTGGGATGCAGAGAACAAGTCTTTCTTCTATAGGAGCCATTTTCAGGCACTTGAAAAGTATGATTCTAACCATCCTCATTATTTCTGGTCTTAAACATTCCCAATTTCTTGTAAGGCAACCAGGATTCACACTACAGTAGTGACTTTTGGCATCTAAAACAGCAAGGAGAGAAGTTTTCAAACACTTCAGTCATGGCTTGGTGACATTCAGAAATGCCATAAGATTCTAGTTGAGATCCTGGCTAAATATTCAGTGTTTGGATAATCTTGGTAAGGTTTTATACTGGGCACCTGTTCCAATTTTTCAGATTCCCTCTTAAGTGGCAGCGCCCAGAAACTCATGATACTAAGAATGTAATATAACTCTCTACTTCTGGGATTTGAAAAATATACTAAGCTGTATTTGCCTTTTCAGCAACTATGTCAACTGATTCATATTTAGGAACTGATTCCCCCATTCGATATCTTGTATTTGATTTCTTTTTCTACATGAAGAACTTTCTCTATTAAATTTCATTCTTTTTTTCAGTCAATATATCTAAATTATCTTGATTTTTTCTGTCTATTAATATATTAGCTATTGTATTCCGTTTTGTATAATCTGCAAACCTGTTAAGCACTTGCTTCCACCAATTTATCCACATTAATGAAAATAATGAATCAAGCCTAGCCCTGTGATACTTAACTGCAATTCAATTAGTATTCTTTGAGCAGAGTTTTCAAGCCGGCTATGGATCCCCTTAACAGATATACCAGCCAACCATTATTTAACTAATCAAAATGTCATGTAATATTTTTTTTTAATTTAGTTGCTCCTAAATGCAGTGGAATTTTCTTTCAAACAAGATGTATAAGATCACATTTGTGTCCCTAATTTCCAAGGTGTGCTCAGGCTTTCCCCCCATGAAATCAGTGAAACTTAACTCTGCTTAAGTCCTACTTGTTCCATTGTTCAGTACAATAACTAGTCTCTCTTCTATTGATGAAAGTCTTTGCAATTCCGAGACTGACATTTGTATTTTTATTGGCTACTTATATTAGTTGTAGATTGTCTATCAGTCACAATCCACAGCTATTGCATTGCAAAAATAATACTTAATAATTTTTGGTTTTCAAAAATTACATAAAACAACATGTCTCTGCTTATGGAGAAGTTAAATCCTATAGATCAGTTCATTTTATGTACTAATATCCCAGTGTAATGGATTGATTTTGTTTAAACTAGTTTAAATACAGCGTTATTCACATACTTTTGTTCAATGCCAGCAGCTGAATTATCTATATAGCAATCACATTTATAATATTAAGAGTTTCAATCAGAAGCACACCTATTAGGAAATAAGATCCACTGAATTACTGGGCCTTACTTTTAAGGAAACAGGAACAGAATTTATCAGAGCACTTCTAAATTGCATTGAGAGAAGACATGAATGTACTGACTTCACAACTTTGAGTGGAATGCTTGTAGGCTTCTTACCAATATTGTGGTCATCAATTTGCATGCACAGTACTCTGATGCATTATTATTGTCTTAATGTAATGGATTAATCTAAAATTATTTTAATATTTTTTCTGTAACAGCAAAAATGAAGATACCTCTATAGCAATGCCAAGAATACCAACTTAAACTTCTCAATAAGATATAAGAATATTGCACCATATCTCAAAACTGTATAGTCAGAAAATCACACTGGATATCTGAAGAACTGCTGGTGCTTAGATTTACAAGGTAATACAGAACAAAATTAATCAAACATTTTTAGGATAGACTATATTAAAAGCAGGATGTGGGTGCTATAAAGCACAGTTTTGCTACAGAATACATCCCATTCACTCCGATGTAGTTACAACAGCACTGAACGAAGGGACTTATGACTGGTCCCTGACTTTACAGCTTTTGCAGTGGCTTCATGGTTGCGTGATCAAAATTCGGGTGCTTGTTACCCCATTCATGTTTACGATGGTAGATGCACTCCAACTCCCCCCTCTCTATTTCCCCCCATCTATGCCCTGTGACACCCTGCATTCTATGGCCCCTGCTGCCCTAGCGGACGTTCACCATATTCTTCCTCCTGCTGCTGACCATATATGCCTGGCTTGGCCCCTTACAAAGCAGCTGCTGGCCACATGAGACTTCCTTCCTCATGCCATGCATGGTTTTTTCATAAGATCTGGAGAAGATGGCTTCACAGCTGCCTTGGGAAGGGTCAGAGCAGGCACACCTCAGTGAAGAGAAGCAAGAAGATAGTGGAATTCAGCTGAGGCCACAGGAGTCTCAGAGTTGAGGGTGGCAAGGGTGACTGGCTGGGACTGGACTGGGGCAGTTGAGGTTTGAAGACTTGAATTGGGGTGGGTCCTCAACTATTGACCAATGGAATTTGATTAATAACAATGGCGAGTGGTGGAATCACCACTGCTAAGAGATGCGGTTACATGACATCGAACTTTATGAATGTATCACTTAAGTGATGAAAGTTTTGATCCCAGTCGTGGTTGTAAGTCAAGGATTGCCTGTAGAAAGTTTATTTCTTAATTCCACAATTAATTTCAGAAAAATGGGGGTGGGGAAACTACCCATCAGATGAAATAAAACTCTGGAATGCTCATGCATGAGACATGTTTATCTTATTTATAAAAGTGACTCTGGGGATGTACAACAAAGCTAAAATCACTTATAAAAATATTTAAAAATATAGAAAACAAAACAAAAGAAATAACAGATGAAAGGATGTCAATAATAATGAAGTCACAGCACAAATTCACTCCTTTAAAATATTTAACATTTAAAAACATGGTTTGAATAAACTTTTTAAAATCCTTGTGGATTTTAAACTTTTTTTAAAAAAATGGTTTCCTCTGTTCAATAGCTTTTACAGTACAAAAACTAGCCAAGAATCAGAAATGTCAGAAGCTGCCTTATACTGAGTCAGAGAATTGGTTCAACTTGCCTGATGTTGCTGATATTATTTGGCAATGACTGTCTAGCTTTGGAAACCAAAGTTTAAGCCTTACCTGGAGATCTCAGATATTTAAGTTGTTACTATTAAGCTCATAACTCTTCCTTGAGATTCTCTGCATCTGAAAGGATTCTAAAAATATAGAAATAACTAAAATGTTGATGATTATAAACTGAATTTAAGGGCAAGTTTTATAGCTGCTCTTTGTGATCTGGATTACAGGGAGAACTACCTTTGTTTGAATGGAGCTATAGAGTGCCAAGTGACACGGTGTCTGAGTTGCTAAGACACTGAGCTTGTTGATCAGAAAGGTCGGGAGTTCAGCGGTTTGAATCCCTAGTGCCACATAATGGAGTGAGCTCCCGTTACTTGTTCCAGGTTCTGCCAACCTAGCAGTTCGAAAGCACATAAAAATGCAAGTAGAAAAATATGTAGTAAAGTAACAGCGTTCCGTGCACCTTCGGCACTTAGTCATGCGGCCACATGACCACAGAGATGTCTTTGGACAGTGCTGGCTCTTTTGCTTTGAAACAGAGATGAGCACCACCCCCTAGAGTCGAGAACAACTAGCACATATGTGCGAGAGGAACCTTTATCTTTACCTTATAGAGTCCATGTTGCTTATGCAACGCTATAATATTTTTATTTCCTGCTCCTGAGAGTTGATGCAGGCACTGATAAGGTAGAACATCATTTGCACATAAAGATCGATTAACTTCCTGGGAAGAGATTAGGGAAAAATGTCTGCAGCTTTATTAATTTACAGCACTTCTTTACATTATGAGTGATCCGGGTGGATATCTGCATAGGGAATTGTTCCATGAGTGGATTGTTCACATTCTATCAGGAGCAGATTTCAAGTATCTACTTTGTAGTTTTGTTTTGTTCTCTTTTGTTTTAACTAGACCTTTTCACATCTGCCACTTCTCCATTGAATCTACATAAACAAGAGTATAGAAGACAGAATCAGAAGTCATACTAGCAGACTTCCACTAGTATATAGAATCCTCTTTCCCCCTTTTGCAACCCAACCAGCTGTAGAATCTTCTAAAGGAGAAAGTGGTACAAAGGGGAAGAGATCTGTTTCTCCTCGTAAGCAATCAGTAACATGGCTTCTATGGACATCTACACAATTAAATTCTAAGACCAGGAATTTGGTGTGTTGTTATTAGAGTAATAATTCCTTGCAGTCAAGCTCAACTTCCGATAACCACCCTGGCACTCCCCACCCTCCATGCAATTGTATTGACAATAATATGAAGGTAGGTTGCCACTGCTTTCTTTTGGGAATTTCTTTTTAATTTGCAGTTCAACTTTCAGCTCTGAAATTTCCAAATATGACCAATGGCCAACCATACTTAGTTTTTTGAATATCAGCCACAGTTAACTAATAGTTACCGTACCTAGCAGGCTTTCTATTTTCGTGTTGGGTCAGAGTC